AAAAAAAAAAAAGAGTGAAATTCCATCTCAAAAAAGAAAGAAAGAAAGAAAGAAAAAGGTCTAAATTGTCAGAACCAATTGGTGACATCAGGGGAAAAAAAAAGTAAAGAAAAAAAGGTATAAAGTGCTAATTAGCTAACTACACACACAAAAAATCTGGTTTTGAGATTCTTCTGGTGATCTTTCTCAAGTGTGTGTGTTTAAGTAAGAATCTGTGTCCGTTTGTAAATGATATGGACCTTATTTTATTCTCTCAATCACAGAACTAGGAAATTACATAGATTTGATTATCTATGACAGAATTCTATAGCATAAGGGTGACCCCCTCTGGGTGTAGCTCTGTGCTTAGCCATGTGGGTGTTAACATTTCTGTGGTTAGATATAATTCTGTATATCAGATACTCTTTGAAACATTCTGTAGAAGGAAGAATGATATTACCTTGGAATATCAAGATGGCAATATCATAATCTCTTTTTTTTTTTTTTTGAGATGGTGTCTCATTCCATCACCCAGGCTGGAGTGCAGTGGTGTGATATCGGCTCACTGCAACCTCTGCCTCCTGGGTTCAAATGATTCTTCTGCCTCAGCAACCAGAGTTGCTGGGGTTATAGGCACATGCCACCATGCTTAGTTAATTTTTATATTTTTAACAGAGACGGAGTTTCACCATGTTAGTTAGGCTGGTCTCAAACTCCTGACCTCAGGTGATCCACCTGCCTCAACCTCCCAAAGTGCTGGGTTACAGGTATGTGCCATCACGCCTGGCCTCCTAATCTTTATTATTACATTGGGTGCTGGATGTTTTCTGGTCACAGCCTCTCTCAGTAAGTACATCTTGATATTGTCTGATGCAGGACCAGAATACTCTTACTTAAGTACATGTGCTTTTAAAAAGAATTGACTCAGTGTCACAAGTCCCAGATTTCATATAATTAATAAGAAGCACTGATAAAGGTACCATGCTTGGCCCATAGCTTCCAACCCCTTCATTTTCCAATCAACTTGTGTTTCTTGGGAGCCTGGGCAAAGGGAGAAAAATTTACGCTAAAAGATGGAATCCTGTAGGCAAAGCTTGGCTTCTCAACAGCCATGTGAGAGAATGGCAATTTTGCTGGTCTGATCTCTAAAACTTAGAGGTTTGCCACAAACCAGCATTCTAATCAAAACACACATTCAGAATATTGACTATCATCTGTTTACCCGAAACCTAGCTGAGAGAAATGATGCTCAGGAAAGGTGGTATAAGTCAGTGATTTTTCTGCCTTCTTTTTTTTTAAGTACAGAAGAAAGGATATGTAAACTCCTAGAATAGCAGAACTGTTGTAATTCAACAGGAATTCAAAGGAATACCTGAGGCTGGGTAATTTACAAATAAAAGAGGTTTATTTCGCTGTCAGTCCTGCAGGCTGTACAAGCACGGCACCAACATCTGCTTGGCTTCTGGTGAGGCCTCAGGAAGCTTTTACTCATGGGGGAAGGTGGAAAGGAAGCAGACATGACATATGGTGAGAAAGGGAGCAAGAGAGAAGAGGGGGAAGCAGCCAGACCCCTTTTAATAACCAGACCTTGTGGTAACTAATAGGGTGATAACTCATTCATTACTGCAAGGATGGCACCAAGCCCTTCGTGAGGGATCCACCCCTATGACCCAAACACCTCCCACTAGGGCCCACATCCACTACTGGCGGTCACATTTCAACATGAGATTGAGATTTGGAGGTAACAAACATCAAAACCATACCATGGAGTAAGGAAAGTAAAGGGCCTCAAGCCCTGCCTCCTATAATTTATCCTTTTGGGGGTCTCTGGAGCACCTCTGGGAATCCCCAGGTTACTAGAGCACAGCATGAAATCCACAGATCCAGGGGATGGCCATCTATGTGTTCTTCTAGGTTTGAAAAGTTTGATTCTTAGATAAAGTCTAGCAACTAAGCCCTTCAGTGCTCCCTGCATTCAGCTGTGAGATGCTGCTCTTACGATTCTTTGTGTGCTGTGAAACTGGCTGGGGGCATATTCCTTATCCTGTTCAATGTCTTCCAGAGCAGTGGTTCCAAGTCACAGGTGTACCAGTCTATGAGGGAGTCTTAAATGATGAACAGACAAATGGAAAAACATAGGGCAGTGCACTGTGTGTGTGTGTGTGTGTGTGTGTACCAGATGTAGGAAAAGTGGCAAATGGAAGCATAGAATGTGCATTTCAATTCACACAAACAGGCTGGGCACAGTGGCTCATGCCTGTAATCCCAGCACTTTGGGAGGCCGAGGTGGACAGATCGTGAGGTCAGGAGTTTGAGACCAGCCTGGCCAACATAGTAAAACCTCATCTCTACTAAAAATACAAAAAAAATTAACTGGGCATGGTGGCAGGCACCTGTAATCCCAGCTACGTGGGGGGCTGAAGCAGGAGAATTGCTTGAACCCGGGAAGTGGAGGTTGCAGTGAACCAAGATCGAGCCACTTCACTCCAGTCCGGGTGACAGTGCAAGACTCTGCCTCAAAAATATAAATAAATAAATAAATAAATAAATAAATAAATTCATATAAACAGGCTGGGCATGGTGGCTCGTGCCTGTAATCCCAACACTTTGGGAGGCTGAGGCAGGCAGATCACCTGAGGTCAGAAGTTTGAGACCAGCCTGGCCAACATGGTGAAACCCCATCTCTACTAAAAAAAATATATATATAAAAATTAGCCAGGCATGGTGGTGCATGCCTGTAATCCCAGATACCCAGGAGGCTGAAGCAGGAGAATTGCTGGAATCCAGGAGGTGGAGGCTGCAGTGAGCCAAGATTGCAGCAGTGAGCCAAAATCGTGGCACTGCACTCCAGCCTGGATGACAAAGCGAGACCCTGTCTCAAAATAAAATAAAATAAAATTCACATAAACAACAAATAATTTCTCAATGTAAGTATGTCCTTTATGATGTTCTACATTTTATCTAGTCACCTTGCATGTGTGTGCACGTGTGTGTATGTGCGTGCCATCCTTATTTCAAAAAATAGCAAATTTTTTGAAATTTTGTGGGCTCAAGAGATTAAAAAGTACTGTATATCAAACTCTGCCCTAAAATAATGTTCCACATGAGAAATTTATCTCCACTCTTATAAGTAGGAATAACTTTATCTCTTGTAAGGAACTAGTATGTTTCCTCCTTGTTGGTGAAAGCTACATCACGTTTTCAGTTTCCCTTTTTGTTTGGCTCTAGGCATTTTGGAGGTCACAGATTATGCAACACGAATGGCAATTATATTTAACTTCATGGTTTGCATATTTTTTCCTCTTTAGCCAGATTCAATTCTGCTTTTTTTAATCCTGTTTTATGAATCACAATTTTATATACATGTTTTGTTAGCCACTTTTTTTTTTTAAACCATATTTGGATTTTATTTAGAATTATATCAAATTTATGGATAAATTGGGGAAGAAATTAATCCCTGTGTGTGTGTGTGTGTGTGTGTGTGTGTGTGTGTGTGTATGTGTGTGTGTTTTTAAGACGGGATTTCACCATGTTGGTCAGGCTGGTCTTGAGCTCCCGACCTCAGGTGATCCACCCACTTTGGCCTCCAAAGTGCTTGGATTACAGGCATGAGCCACCACGCCCGGCCTGTTAGCCACTTTTTTTTTTTTCTAGCTCTGTCACCTAGGCTGGAGCGCAGTGGTGTGATCTCTGCTCACTGCAACCTCCACCTCCCGGGTTCAAGCGATTCTCCTGCCTTAGGCTCTTGAGCAGCTGGGATTACAGGCACCTGCCACCCCATCTAGCCAATTTTTGTATTTTTTCTAGAGATGAGGTTTCACTGTGTTGGCCAGGCTGGTCTCGAACTCCTGACCTCATGATCTACCCACCTTGGCCTCCTAAGGTGCTGGGATTATAAGCGTGAGCCACCGTTCCTGGCACCATCTCAGCTCACTGCAACCTCCGCCCCTCGACACCCCTTGGGTTCAAGCAGTTCTCCTGCCTCAGCCTCTGAGTAGCTGGGATTACAGGTACCCGCCACCATGCCCAGCTAATTTTTGTATTTTTAGCAGAGACAGGGTTTTGCCATGTTGGCCAGACTGGTCTCGAACTCCTGACCTCAGGTGATCTACCCGCTTCAGCCTCCCAAAGTGCTAGGATTACAGGCATGAGCCACCGTGCCCGGCCCTAAAGTTCTTCTTTAAAGAGAAGTATGAAAGTAAATCTCAGCAATTAATAATGAAATAAGCAATGAGCAAACAAATAAATTAATCATTTACAGCGAGCCTCTGTAATTGTGATTCTGTGATGGGAGGCCATCTCCAGTCTAGGATGGAGATATATGACAAGTTCACATCTGCTTGTCACAACTTTATTGATGAGGTGGCCCCTTAGCAAAGATACACTTGGCAACCTGTGACAGGGAGCTCCTTCCCCACCTGGCCTTGGATCTCAGCGGGAGGACAGGAACAGTAGAACCTGGGACTCCTCCCCCTTTCTAGTCTCGCTTTCCTATTCCCTCTCTCTTACCCTTCCAAGACTTTGGCTCCTGCTAAAGTCACTTGCATTGAGTCTATAACAAGCTGGTGCCCTGCACTGATAATATTTGCAACAAATTATTTCTATCCAGGCTACCATTGACTTGGTCATCGGCTATGATCCGCCTTCCACTCCACATCCAAATGACCCGAGTGGGCCCAGCGTGCCAGGCATGGGAGGTAAGCTGACCCTTCTGAAAGCCCAGCCACCCCCAGCGGAGGCTGCTAAAGACATACAGGAGAGTGTCTGGAGACAGCCGTGAATTCACCAGCCCGTAGCTCCCTGCCCACCCAGACAGGGGCCCCGTGAGGCAGGTGGGGCTGCCTGAATTGGGACATTGCATTTGTTTACACAATCCCCTTGAAGGTAGAGGGGAAGAGTGAACCAGTCTTTTACTGAACAGCCTCACGGTGAGCACAAAAAGCACACATGGGCTCCAACAGAATGTCCCATGACTTTGCTTCAGGTTTGTGGCTTCCACCCCATTCAGTGTCCCCAGGCTGTTTGGCTCAGGGAATGGCCCCTCTGCTCTCCTCCATGTGTCTCCTCACCTCCCAAAGGTGCGACCACCGGGCTGTGCTCTCAGCATCAGTCTCATGGGCGTGGCCTTCAATTGGAGGCTCCTTCCCTCTCTCCCATAACCCCGGCCCCGTCTGGTTCTCAAATGTCTGGTCCCCAAACAGCCCCCAGTCCTCTAAGTAATTACTTCTCTTCAGCATAACCTGTATCGTCCTTGGTCTCTGACGTGGGGGCCAGTCATTCAGGGCCATCAGGTGCCACTCCAGGTGGGGTTGGGGCTGGGGGCTCAGGGAGGGAGTGCCTGCAAGACAATCAGACTCTCATGCAGCTGAGTCTGACCCCCTCTCAATGTTTCCCCAGGATGACGTGATGCTAAAAGTGTCTCCGTCCCTTCCTCAGACCTAAGAGGCATGACCAACAGCCCCACCTGTCACCCGTGTTGGGATGTGACTCAGGAAGGGAGGGGCCCCTCCTCTCACCACACTCACCTGCTTCCTTGAAATTCTCCCTCCTGAGAGGAAGTCCTGGCACTTGTTCCTGAGATGGCTCCTTGGGGCCTGTCTTCTCCTTGCTTCTCTCAGTTCAGAACTCGGCTCTCTGGCCGCCCCAGGGTCTGCTCTGCACCGCAGCAGCACCTCCCTGCCTGCCCTGCCCGTTCCCGCCTGACTTCTCATCTTGCTCAGCCTGACCCCAGCCCCTGCCCCTGCTTATGCACCCATGATGAATGTTTTGGGCCGTTTTTTGACCAAGTAGTTGTGGGTTTCCAGGGAGGGCTAGCTGGCTTCCTCTTGGTGACAAGACCGACATGGCCCCAGCACATCAGCAGTGTGCTCTGCCCATGACCCTCTTCCAAGTGGCACCCTGAGCATGCTACTTGGCCTTGGACACTGAGTCCTGCAGGAGCGCTGCCGTGGCTCAAGAACATCCATGAGTCCCTTTGCTTCCACAGCAGTGATGACAAAAAGAAACCCACAAAACGTAGAGGACACAGGCCAGCTCCGATAACACCATCAGGTGCTGAACTGAGTGGTCCTGCCCATTTCCCTGGGACCTCCTCTGCTTATGACTGTTGTCACCAGCGTTTGTATCTGTGTGGGAAGAGTACTAGGTGCTTTCTGGCCTGCACAAGGCAGCCCTAATTGATGGACTATCTAGAGTAGCCTCTGAATGGAAAAGATCAGGGCATCTTTCTTCACACTATTGTTTCTCCTAAGCTGGACCCTGTTTGTTAGTTTCCTAGGGCCGTTGTACTAAACTACCGCAAACTGGGTGGCTTAAGCAGCAGAAACGTATTCTCTCACAGTTCTGGACATCAGCAGTCTGAAAAGTCAATGTGTCAGCAGGGTTGGTCCTTCAGGAGCTGCTCAGCCTTTCTCCCAGCTTCTTTTGGTTGCCAGCCTTCCCGGCATCTGTAGCTTGTAGATGCATCATTCCCGTCTCTGACTCTGCTGTCAAATGGTGATCTACCTGTGCGTCTTGGTGTCTTTCTTGCCTTTTTTCCCTGCCAGGATATAGATCCTGAGTGGCTCAAGGATCCTCCTATGTGTCTGTTTTTACCTGGTGTTCTCCTCTCTATGCATCTGTTTTTGTTTGTTTGTTTTTGAGACTAGTCTTACTCTATCTCCCAGGCAGGAGTGCAGTGGTGTGCAGTATCGGTTCACTGCAACCTCTGCCTCCCGGGTTCAAGCAATTCTCATGCCTCAGCCTCCTGAGTAGCTGGGATTACAGGCGCCTGCCACCATGCTTGGCTAATTTTGGTATTTTTAGTAGAGATGGGGTTTTAATGCGCTGGCCAGGCTGGTCTTGAACTCCTGACCTTAAGTGATCTGCCCTCCTCGTCCTCCCAAAGTGCTGGGATTATAGGTGTGAGTCACCACACCTGACCCTTCTCTGTGTGTCTGTGTCTAAATTTCTTATAAGGCACTGGTCGCTGGATTGGGACCCACCCAAATCAAGTTAAGATAAAGTCATTCTGGATTAGGGTGGGTTCTAACCTTCTCTTAAGGTTTGTAACCTTATCTTAACTGTACAGAAACCTTCTTTCCAAATAAGATCACATTCTGAGGTTCCAGTAGACATGAATTTGGAGGAACAGTATTCAACCCAGTACACTGGCAGATAAAAGACAATTTCTTTATGTTTATTCCATTCCAAGAGCCAAAATATTAAATGGGTTCTCTTGTGTTACCCTTTCTGCCAGGCCTTTAGGGAAAAAAGAACACTGTGGCTCATTCAAGTAAAAAGAGTAAACTTAAAGAGGTCAGCGCCATACCATTTAATAGTATTTATGGAGTCAGAACATTGCTTGCTGGGTTTATTTTTTATTTTATTTTATTTGAAATAGAATATTGCTTTGTTGCCCAGGCTGGAGTACAGTGACATGATCTCGATTTACTGCAACCTCTGCCACCATGCCGGGCTAATTTTTGTATTTTTAGTAGAGATAGGATTTCACCATGTTGACCAGGCTGGCCTCAAACTCCTGACTTCAAGTAATCCTCCCGCCTCAGCCTCCCAAAGTGCTGGGATTACAGGCATGAGCCAGCGCCCCTGGCTTGCTGGGTTTCTTGAGTGCCGTTACTAGATGCTGTAGCACTGGGGATGATGAGTGTTTTAAGACACAGTTCCTGCCCTCCAGAAACTCTTGGTTCAGGTTTAGTGACAAGATTCTTTTTAATCCCAAAGATATAACATTACAGATAAAAGCAAGGGCTTTGGGGTCAGCCTGGCCTGCACTGGATTTTGTGTCTATTGTTAACTGGCCATAGGACCTTGGATAAGTCACGTAACGTCTCTGAATCTCAGCTTTCTTTACTGGAAAGCAGGGATAATTGCAGCACCTTTATCATAAAGTATTTAGCCCAGTGCCTGGCACACAGTAATAGCTGCATTAGTGGTAGTCACTATTATTATTATAAAAACAATTCTAGATAACTGGAATCATAGTTCAGCTGGGTAACAACACTTGGTGATTTTCAAATTGTTTTCTTTAAAAAGCAGAGTTTTTAGAAAAGAATGTCCTGGTTTGGCTCAAAGTAAGGTTGAGATGATCAAATGCTTTCTTTATAAATATCATTAAAAAAATTATCCCAGTGCACCAGAAAGTTTTTGAGAACAAGCACTTTATCAAGCTGTTCAGAATGTGAAGGAGATCCTGCCTCTTGAAATGGACCCCAGTGAGCCCAAACCCAGAAACCCAAATGCCAAAACCATGTGATTTTCCTGGAGCAAATTTCTGCTTCCTTAGAAAAAAAAAAAAAAAAAAAAAAAAAGACCAACTCTTGAACTCTTTTTTAAAATTTTTAATTAATTAATTAATTATTTTTTCTTTTGAGAAGGAGTCTTGTTCTGTCACCCAGGCTGGAGTGCAGTGGCATGATCTCAGCTCACTGCCACCTCGACCTCCCAGGTTCAAGCGATTCTCCTGCCTCAGCCTGCTGAGTAGCTGGGATTATAGGTAGGTGCCACCATGCCCAGCTAATTTTGTATGTTTAGTAGAGATGGGGTTTCACCATATTGGCCAGGCTGGTATTGAACTCCTGACTTTAGGTGCTCCACCCACCTCGGCCTCCCAAAGTGCTGGGATCACAGGTGTGAGCCACCGCACTTGGCCCCAACTTGAACTTTTAAACTTGCTGGGGAGAAAATCCTTGCCATCCAAGGCTCCTTCTCCTCTCCTCTTGGTTTAAGCCTTTGTAGCACCAGTCCTCCCAGCAGGACAGTGGACTTAAGGAGTCCACTATCCCCTTAGAAGTCCAACTCCCAGCAGGCTCAGCACCAAGGAACTGCACAAGCACAGCCCAGGTCTCCCGCGGAAGCTCTTTAGAATCCCTGACATTGCTCGACTAAGACAGGAAATGAACCAGAACTTGGGTTCCTTGTATTTGGATTTCAAACAAAGGAGATCACCAGGTGTTGGTCTGCAAATGAACTGTGTTTGCAGGGCAACTTTATTTTTAAGTATAAGATGACAAAGTGAAATTTCTTTATTATAAAAAATAAACAGGGCTCTTTGATCTGGAAGTGCTGTCTTTGTTTTATAAAATGAAAGTTTGCAAGGGCTGGGTCACGGGGGGCATTCTGTGTGTCAACTTCCTAATCTGGCTAACAGAAATGTTCCTTCAGCAATTAAAAAAAAAAAACCCTTCTAATAGCCTCGACTATCTAGATGTTTCGAGAAAAAACATTTATTTTCCCTGACATAGTGTCTTAGTCTGTTTGCATCTCTGTAAAGGAATACCTGAAGCTGGGTAAGTTATAAAGAAAAGAAGTTGGCAGGGCACAGTGGCTCATGTCTGTAATCCCAGCACTTTGGGAGGCAGAGGCAGGTAGATCATCATGAGGTCGGGGTTTGAGACCAGCGTGGCCAACATGGTAAAACTCCATTTCTACTAAAAGTACAAAATTATCTGGGTGTGGTGGCGTGCACCTGTAATCCCAGCTACTCAGGAGGCTGAGGCAGGAGAATTGCTTGAACCTGGGAGGCAGAGGTTGCAGTGAGTCTAGACTGCACCATTGCACTCCAGCCTTGGCTAAAGAATAAATCAAAAAAAAAAAAAAAAAGAAAAGAAAAGAAGTTTATTTGGTTAATGATTCTTCAGACTGTACAAGAAAGAAGCATGGTGCCAGCATCTGCTTCTGATGAGGGCTTCAGGGAGCT